GTGTGCTCTTCCGATCTATTCTTGTTTTTTGTCATCAAAAAATATAAATTTCTCTCAAACTATACGGTCAATTTAGATGAAACTTTGTCAAAACGAACTTAAATGTTTACTTTGTAAGTATAACAATTTTAAAATTTCTATCTTATATGCAAATATTTCAAATTAAAAGAAAATATCTAAAAATATTTCAAAAAAGTTCTGTGTGTATCTGTCATGTAAAATACTATACATTTAGAATTAAATATCTTCAAAATGGTACAGTAAAAGTCAATGAAATTTTTTTTGGATATTATGAATATAATTAACTTTTGTATCATGTATGTATTATGGACTTGTCTTATATTTCATCAAACGCTGGAACCTTTTTATTTAAATCACCTATTTCATTTATTTAAAAAAATTTCAATATTACTTTTCAATACCAAGATTTACTGAACATTCTGCTTTCCTCTTTGTAGATTTTTACTTTGTACTCTCTCGCCCAGCAACAGCTTAGTAAGCAATACCATTACGACTTTGGTTTGCGAGGTATAGTAACGCTGACTCGGTACGCCGGCAAAAAGAAACAGCTCTATCCCAATCTGCCTGACGAGGAGGTGACTACTCGTAAAATGAATGAATTTAATCTCTAGTAAAAATTTTACTATCCATTATCTCAAAAGCGACAAAAATTTTTGCATAGATGTTAAAGTAGAAGAACAATGGGTTTATAAGGCATTTGTTTTATTTTATGCGACTACATTTACGTGAAACATTTACAAAGCAACGTACGGAAACGCAACAGTTTCCCGCGCTGCTTGGGACTTTTATCGTGGAACTTGCATCAACCAAGTTGAATGTTATCTAGATAATTATTCTCGCCATGAAAGATATGAATGTCGCCAAGCTTACCTCGGACGACCTACCGCTATTCCTCGATATCACCACAGATCTTTTCCCCAACGTAGACATACCTACCGTGGATTACGAGGAAATTATCAGTTATATAACCAGCGAGGCAATCAAGTTGAAGCTGCAGGTAATCTACTTAGGAAGGATATAACTTCGCTCGCCCGGAAGCGAGCCTGCAATGTTCGTATTTTTATGCCATAGCCCTAAGGATATTTATCGAGCATTTATCAGCATTAATTATTCAATGCTGATTCAACGCTTACAAATATCAATTTGTGTACATCAAGCTGACGTATCCCCTCCGGATTATCGTTCTTCTTAGAATTTATTTCTCCGGCGTTGGCAAAAATATAATTATAGAAACTGTGTTTGGATTAATCGCCGGATGAATCATCTAGCTGGCTACCTCGGGACTAATTGATTGCCTAAATTGTCCGGATTGCAGCCAATTCCCATGTTAGTGACGAAAGTCATTGAGCTGTACGAAACGAAGAGCTCGCGTCACTCAACGATGATCGTCGGCGCGTCGAACACCGCAAAAACCGCAACGTGGAAGATTTTGCAGAATACGATGACGACAATGAAGAGCGATGGAAAGCCGGGCTTTAACACCGTTCACGTACATCCCATTAATCCTAAGGCACTGAGTCTCGGTGAACTCTACGGCGAGTACAATCTTTCCACCGGAGAATGGCACGACGGAGTGATATCGTCCATCATGCGGAAAACTTGTTCCGGTAAAGCGCTTGATTGATTGCAATGTAATATGTGTAATGTAATAAGTATGTTAGACGCTAAAAAGCAGCGAATTCATTCAATAGTTTACACGAAATAATTGGGAAGTGTCTATTATGCGCGTCGAGATATATATCTATAATACTTACTTCACAATTTAGAATATTACGGAAAGGAATCATTTTGCTGAAGCTAAAAATAATTTTATTAGACCATCAAAATAATTATGTTGTATCTCAACATTAATGAGCAAATTTAAAAAATTTTAATTCTATAAGCAACCTGTGTCTATAAGAGTTTACATAATCGATATAACTATTTTGATGATTGAACAAAATTATTTTTAGATCTGTATCCAACTAAATTTTTTTAAGATCTTTCAGAACAAGATTGTTTTTTCCGTAAAAATTTTGATTCTAGCAACAGTTTGAATAATCAACAATTATTTTGATAGTTGAACAAAATTATTTTTAGATCTGTATCCAACTAAAGTTTTTAGGGTCTTTCAGAGCAAGATTGTTTTTTCCGTACAGAATATAGTTTATACATAAAATTCGAATAGACGCTAATTTACATAAATATACAAATTTTATAAGATATTTGTTACAAATATATTATAAATGTGTAAATGTATAAAATAAAGCATCAGTTTTGCATCATGACACATGTTAATATAAAAGTATTACTCGCGGAATAATTGGATAATTATATACTAATAATAAGTAAAACTGGGAGGAAGGAAAAGTATGAGCAAAATCATTAGAACGAAGTCGCTAACGCGATTTATGCCCGGAAAACATGTCACTATAAAGCTCAACGGCTCTTTTGACAGAGGACACCGTCGACGAAAAGTGGATCCTCTTTGACGGACCCGTGGACGTTGATTGGATTGAGAACATGAACAGTGTCATGGATGACAACAAGGTATACTTCGCCCTTCCTTTGCTGCTCCTCCGCTTTTTTCTTGGGATGAAATTGCATAAGGGCTAACTGGCGCATTTCCTGAAAAATAAAAAAGAACACCGCGTTTTCAGGTACTGACGCTGGTAAATAACGATCGTATCGCCATGCCCGACCAAGTCTCGTTGCTTTTCGAGGTGCAAGACTTGGCTGCTGCCTCTCCCGCGACCGTCTCCAGAGCGGGCATGATTTATAATGATTACAAGAACCTCGGTTGGCGTCCCTACGTCGATTCGTGGCTGCAGAAGTACAGCGCCAAGCCGGAGTTCATCGACGAGGTGAGACGCCACGCCGATCGAGAGACCGGATAATTGATTGAAAAGTATCGCCCACCGACCCAGTTTTACAATTTCATTTACTTTTCAATCATCAGATGAATCGGCTGTTCGAGGGTCGCGTCAACGTCACGTTGGGATTTAAGCGGCGGAATTGCGAGGAACTCGTGCCCGTTCCCGAATTAAACGCCGTTCAGTCGCTTTGCAAGCTCCTCGAAGTGCTCGCGACGCCGCAAAACGGCGTGGAGTTGGGCGAGGATCGCGACGCTTTCTCCAACATATGTAAAATGTGGTTTTTCTTCTGGTACGTCTGGCTCTCCTTGAATTTTTCTCTTAAACACTCGCTCGCGTCTCGCAAACTTATACACGTGACGCGACGACCGCGCGCGCTTCAACGAGGCGAAATTACGAATTCGCAGCCAGCATCCGAGCACTGCAGTTCGAATATTAACCGTTGCTGCCGGACATTTCCAAGTGACACTGATATTGCAGTTCTCCGGTGGTTTGCAAGTCATATTAAACTATAAGTTCCGAGTTAATGACATGGTAATAGTGTTTGAGAGCACTAAATAACTACATTCAGTTCTGCGTTTGCAGCATGATATGGTCACTGTGCGCCGCGGTCAACGAGGACGGCCGCCAGAAAATGGATAAATTCATAAGGGAAATTGAAAGTTTCTTTCCGTTACGGGACACAGTCTACGAGTACTACGTGGACGCGCGTATGCGTACTTTCGTTTTATGGGAGGAAAAATTATCGCCCGCGTGGAAATTTCAAGCCGGGTAAAACGATAATAGTAATTCAATTATAGTATGTTCGCGACGTGCGAATTTCTAAAAAATTGAAGAGTTTATTGCAACAATGGGCTAAACCCATTGTTACAACGTAATCGAATACGTGAATTTGGTAGAAATAAATGTATTATTATTTTAACTTTATTGATCTCTCTGGTTTTACAAAATGTGTGTTAGTCCACTGTTGCAAGCTCTTCAATTGTGAATTGTTGTCTCCTATCTTTGCAAAAGTTATGCGATAAACTGCAATCTATTCTTTGGTATTTTTGACCAGTAGTTTATAATATTAACTGTTTAATTATGTGACAGTACATAAATAACTTTGAATTTGACGTTGATTTGATAATTTCTAAATTTTAAATTATATATCGATGACTGAAATAAAATTCAAGTTAAATTCTATCGTATATTTTTTACATCATATTTAATCACATCCGTCAATTTAAAAATTACTAAATACGGATAATTTATTGTGCTATCTTTCAACGGCATCTAATATACTCTTGATTCAATTTACAGTCTACCATTCTACAAGATAATAGTACCTACCGTAGACACGATACGATACGATTACATCGTAAGTTCTCTTCTATCGATTGGTTTTCCGGTGCTCGTAGTGGGTCCAGTGGGTACAGGAAAAACGTCCACTATCCACTCGGTACTTGAGTTTCTAGACGACACGAAATACGCTGTTCTGCTTGTAAATATGTCGGCCCAAACTACATCCGGTAACGTACAGGTAAGGCTCTGAACGTATATCGAATGGATAATAGTCTTAAATATTGAATGTGATCGTTTTACATTGGATGTCTTCTTGGTTCAGGATGCAATAGAAAGCAGACTGGAGAAACGAAAGAAAGGAATTTATGTTCCCATGGGCGGTAAGACTATGATCGCTTTCATGGATGATTTTAATATGCCCATGAAGGAAAAGTACGGATCGCAACCACCGTTGGAATTGATTCGGCAGTGGATCGATTACGGATTTTGGTAATTTTGTAGTAAAATATAAGAACATGCAACAGACAAAAAAATCTGAAAAAAAAACAGCAAAGAAAGCATAACGATGTTGTATGAAGGTTGCATGAAATATGCTAAAATTACGGAAAGAATGATTTTGTTGAAAACTCTAAAAATTTTGCTGAAAACAGATGTGAAAATTAATTCTTGTTGAATCATCAAAAAATTTTGTTGGAATGTTAAAAATTATAAGCATTATTATAAAATGTTTTGATATTCTAGCAATTATTTTGACTTTCCTACAAAATTATTTCGATTATTGAACAAAAATTATTTTCAGATCTAAATCCAGCAAAATTGTTCTTTCCGTGATGGTTTGTTGCAATAAATGTACAAAATATTATCGATAGGTACAACCGTCAGAAGCAAATGAGAACGTACGTTGAAAAGATACAATTAATAACTGCGATGGGACCACCAGGTGGAGGCCGCAACGTCATCACGAATCGATTAATCACGAAATTCAACGTCATTAACATGACTTTTCCGAGTGAGAGGCAGATCATAAGGATTTACGGCACGATGTTGAGGCAACAACTTTCCGAATTTCACACCGAAGTGAAAGGGATATGTAAGCGCAAAGTAACCGCCGATTGAACGTAATTGACAATTACATAAAATAATGTTTTCTCACCCATCGCAGCGAACGAGATAACGGCCGCTTCGATCGATCTATACAATCACGTGGTGCAGAAGATGCTCCCGACTCCAACGAAGATGCATTACTTATTTAACTTGCGGGACATTTCGAAGGTAAAAATCGCATTGTGATTAAAAATGGACGAGCAATTGGCGGTAATCGCGCGAGGATAGATGTGACAGCGCGGGCACAAAAATTAGTATCGATCCCCCCGCGTACAGGTCTTCCAGGGGCTGCTGCGCAGCCACAAGGACTATCAGTATTCGAGGCAGACCTTCCTCCGATTGTGGGTCCACGAGAGTTTCCGAGTTTTCTGCGATCGGCTTATTGACGAGAAGTAAGCGCTCAAGAGGCATTAACTTAATTTGGCCTGGGATACGGGAGAAAAAAATGCTGAGCAATTTCTTTCAGGGACAGAGAGTGGTTCGTGACTCAGCTGAACGATCAGCTCGGAAAGTACTTCGAGCTGACCTTCCACAGTGTGTGCCCGGAAAAGAGGTGCCCCGTTTTCGGTAAGCGCGCACCAATACCATCACAGTGTTAATGTACTCCGTTCACCATTTTATTAATATGGATTTGTAATTAATATATGTACACTGCCGTCGAAGAGTTTCCGCACAATACCTATATACACTTGTCTTCTCGCGTCTTCTTGAGACTTCTTGTATGTGTTTCTCTTCAGCAGTATTTGACTCATGGTATACCAAATTATTTACATAACACACATAAAATTGAATATACCGCGGTTCAATCATAAAATATGCCATTTTACGTTTCCAAAAAATCAATTTTATTAATTAACCGGCTCGCACTGACAATGAGAGGCCTCGAGTCACTTTCAAATCAGAGGATAAGTCCCTAGTTTTAATGTAAAAAATGAATAAAAAGCTCACCGCACCGGAAATTCAATCGCGGTTTAATAAAAATCACTGATGAACATCAGATCGGTAATTACTGAGGGATTGTTTGCACAAAGCCAGCTTTTGAGGTAGAGTTTTCAGTAAAAAATCACTTTTCCGGCGCGAGAATAAGACAAACAGACTTCAGTGGGCTCAAAATTACAAAGGCTGGACATCGAATTTTCCCGACTTATACTCCTGTCCGGAAACTTTTCGATGACGGTGTATATCTAATTATTATTTTATTATTGCGTTTGGGAAGAATCGAAATACACACTTTAAACTCTCGAGACACTTTAAAATAACTGTCTACAGGCAGTTTCATGAATGCCTGGAATATATATGAAGACCTTCCTGATATCGGTGCTGTAAGGCGCTACGTGGAGGAACAAATGGATGAGTACAATGTTTCTCCTGGCGTGGTGCGCCTCGATCTCGTTCTGTTTCGCGACGCGATCGAGCATGTATGTCGCATCGTTCGTGTAATATCGCAGGTTAGTAATTCACATGGCGTGTTTCATATAACGGTAACATTTTATCCGACGCGATGGTATACGTTGTTAAAAGTACAATGATGTTATTACACCTTTATACTATATCTTTTTTATTAAATTCGATACCCGATTCTCTTAATTTAACCCTCAGCTGCAGGAGCAGTAGTCTATATTTCCCGATTCTGGATTGCGATTTTGGAAAATTTCCTGTTGACCTTCGGAAACTGCTGTGGTGGGGAATTAGTAGGTAGTGGGGGTATTAAACTTTCTTTAGCTCCTACTCCTCGATTTCCTTCCTATCTTTGCGGCTTGTAAATGCCTAGCGTTATTACAGCCTCTGGATGTACTACGCCCAGAACTTCAGTTGAGGGTTAATTAACGTAAAAAAAAAACGCCATAAAAGTTTGATATTTGTCCTTTCCCGTAGCCTCGCGGTAATGTTCTTCTGGTTGGAATCGGCGGTAGCGGCAGACAATCACTTTCGCGTATCGGCAGTTACATGTGCGAACTGTCCACCTATCAAATTGCCATTACGGCGCAATATAGGACATCAGAATTTCGTGAGGATATCAAGACTCTGTACTCAATAACCGGGGTGGAGAACAAACCGACCAGTTTCCTCCTCAATGATACCCAAGTAGTCGAGGAGCAGTTTCTGGAGATTGTCAACAATATGCTGAGTACTGGCGAAGTGGCTAATCTCTACAAGAGCGACGAAATGGAGGACGTAAGTCGGTTAATACGCTCCACGCCACCGTCATTTCATCTCCATCCGTATATAATCCGCCGACGGTTACTCTGTGTAGGGCGCTTTCTCTTGGAAAAGAGAATCAGCGAAATTAAAAAGATAACAGAAGTACCATTTCCAATTTCATATAAAATTTATATCTCGTTTAATTATTCTCCGTCTCGTATTCTTCTTGCTATTTTTATATCATAAAATACCTTGGAAGTTCTTGAAAGATATTTTTGTAAATTAAAAACACAAGAATGTTTTAATCAAATTGTTATAATTAATATTATTTAATATTATGCAAACATATGTTTGCATAATATTACTCTGCTTAAATTAATACAATATTGTTCACTAGATCACCGAAATTATTGCATGTCAAGAATATTTGCATGTCAGTATATTTAAAACATTTCAAATCGAATTATTGGATTAATCACTTTATAAAGCAAACTAGTCTAAAAAATACATGAAAATTTTTTTAAATATAAAAATTTGGAGATTATATTTACAATATTGTTTACAATATTTTTATATTTACTATTATTTTTAAAGCAAATATGAAAAATGTGCATTGCTCCTACAATTTTTTTATAATAACCCTTTTTTATTAATTGAAAGCTATGTAAATGAGAAGTACAGCAAGGTAAATTTACATAAACGATGCAAACAAATATCTGCACGTATCGAGAGTAGTTCAAGAGTGAAAATGTTCAATGTAACAGATATATACGTAGTTCAAGTGGTTTACATGTCCCAATATTTCTATAAATCGCATTCGTCTAACAATTCAACTAGTACGAAAGTAACGCAGGAGCGGGCTGTACTCAGGATATATTACGTTTCCCCAGATTAAAAATAGACTATCGAGGGAAGTAACGAAGGCTGGAAAGACACCAACGAACGAGGCGGTATATTCCTTCCTGATCGAGAGGGCGCGTGCCAATATGCATTTGATCCTGTGCATGAGCCCGATCGGCGATGCCTTCAGGAACAGATTACGGCAGTACCCTTCCCTGATCAATTGCACGACCATCGATTGGTTCTTGGAATGGCCGAGAGAAGCCCTCCTCGAAGTTGGCAACAAGTTCCTCATGAATCTCAATCTGACGCTCACTATCACCGGCGAAAATAAAGTGGTAGGTACGCCTTTCCCCTTTCCGCGCGATCGATTCCATTCGATTCGATTCTTACGATCAACGCGCGTTTCCTACCACCAATCTTCCGCCCCCCCCCCTCCCTCCCTTCCACCCGCTCGCTCTCTCTTCTCGTTCTTCTTGCCGACCATTTCAGCGAATCCGATTATTTTCCCATCTACGGTTTGCCCCCTGATGATACGGACGTCTGCCGCATTTCTTTCCGTTCGACCGAGGCTGAGATTGGTCGCTTGAATGCCTCGGAGAACGCTTCTGATATTCATAATTCGTCAAATTCTGCCTGAGAAGGCTCTGCACTCGTTTCGATCTCGCGAATAAAATTGCATCGAAATAGTGCGAAAAATGCGCAGGAATATTGTCGCAATTAGACAAATACGTCAATCGGTCATCCGTACACAAATGTTCGATCCGTGACCACATCACTGACAAAATCCACAAAGTTCTTTCATATTTTTAATACGTATATAACTACCGTAATGAGTTTCCTTCGTAAAAATCTCTTCTTAAACAGCGTCCCATTTTCTAGATTATTTATTATTCATGCAGCTTTTAGTCTTAATGCATTTATGACTCCTGGTGCTATTACGTCCCCTATTTAATATCACAAAACGGGGGATACTTTCCCTCGTCATAATATTCACCGGATAAAAAATTTCGAATGGAACGGATAATCAGGCATCTGAAATAATCATGTACTAAATGCGGTTGGCTTTAATTTGGAGAATATTAGACGGTGAAGCGAAAATGCGTATCATAAGGGATCGCTGTTAATCCTGGTGTAAAATGAATGGCATTTTATACGGAGCCATTTTATTACGTCCACTCGCGTGCGAGCGCGCGAGGCAAGGATAGGGAGATAGGGGTGCGGCTGGTTAAAAAATTTATACTACAGGCGACCGTAACGAACGCGAGTGTTACGAGGATGCACTTTTCTGCAGGAACCGCGACCGTCCGCGACGGCTGCACCACTGCCGCCGCTGCAGGACCGAATGCGCGATGGAATTGCGGCATCATTCTCCCTGATCCACGACACAGTGTCCCAGTTCTCTCGCAGAATGGCCGCTGAAATGAAGCGTTACAATTACGTGACTGCCGTGAATTTTATCGAGCTGGTGGCCGGTTACAAAGAGTGAGCATCGAACGAACTCGCGATACCGACTAGCAATAAGTTATAAAGGCTAGACAACGCAATTATACGTTTGATACAGATAGCATACGTGGAAAGAACGATTTTGTTGAGAGAGGTCTAAAAATTTTTGCTAAAAACATGAGTCTGAAAATAATTTTTTGTTGAATCATCAAAATAATTTGTTGGAATGTTAAAGCTGATAAGCATATTGCTATAAAACGTTTTGATATTCTAGCAATCACTTTGACTTTCGCACAAAATTATTTTGATTATTGAACAAAAATTATTTTCAGATCTGGATTCAGCAAAATTGTTCTTTCCGTGTAGCATTTATCGCGATGTTTCCGGTATAAATATATTCTTCGGTAAAAATGAAACGGAGATATCGTATTCGAATCACGCAGAATGCTGGCGAAAAAGAGGCAAGATTTAGCAGATCAGGCGAACAAACTTCGCGGCGGCCTCTCGAAGATCGACGATACCCGGGTGAAAGTTAAAGAAATGGCGGCGGAGCTCGAAGTCACTCAGCAGCAAGTTCATAAATCTACGAGGGAGTGCGAAGAATTCCTCGTAACGATAGGTACACGGCGCCACGCGACAGTGATATATTATCAGCGGCGTTTATCAGATTAATCTATAAAAACTTATTGCTTTTAACGCTCTTCTCCCTCTCCCCTCCCCCCCTCGCTGTTCTCCCCCCTCCCCCTTGGATTCCAACTTTCCTCGTGCACTTAATTAATCATACGGTATCCCGTCCTGCGTCGCGTTCGTCGCTCTTAACTGCGCCACGCTTGCGACGCGCGTAGCAAACCAGAGCCGCGACGCTGATGAAACGCAAAAACAGATCACCGCCAAATCGCTTCGTATCGCCGAGGAGCAAAAAGAATGCAAGAAGCTCGAGGAACTTGCGAGGGCTGACCTGGCGACCGTCGAACCCGCCTTGAACGAGGCCATCAAGGTCGTTATCGAATTTTATGTTCTTTCCTTCTAAGAACAACATTTAATTTTAAACAACGTTAGAATTTCTGATATCGTTCTCTCCTTCAATATCTTTTTATTTTATATATATTTTTATAAATTTTTAACAGTTAATTTATGTGATGTTTAATTAAGCGCTTCGCGGCTCTCTTTCGGTATTACGGCCCTATGAATACGCAATGTTAAGATAACAATGCCGTCGGATTATAGACGATCAAGAATAAAAAGGTTTTTTGTTCGCGGCAATTAAATTTTTATTGTCGAAAAGTAAATCTCTTCGGACGAAAGTGAGAGGACGAAAGAGAGATAACCGCATCTGTTCTGCCTAAAAAGATATTTTCTTAAAAAATTTTACTGAAGAATCAAATGTATATCTGAATTTAAGATTTTATGTAAATGGGACATTACATGACAAAAAAAGATGGGCGAATTTTATTTTAGGCGTTGGAAACTTTGAGCAGGAAGGATTTATCTGAAATAAAGTCCTTCACGCATCCGCCGCCGAAAGTTGAGATGGTGATGGAGGCCGTGATGATTCTGAAGAACTCGGAACCCACGTGGGCGGAAGCGAAGCGCCAACTTAGCGACGTGAACTTCATTAATACGGTGAGCGATAATGTTGCGACTGACAAGTTCATTCATTTCCAACTAACTCGCTCTCTGATCTGATTTCTAGCTTCGTGACTTCGACAAAGATCATATATCGGACAGAGTTCTACGAACAATAGCCAAGTACACGTCCAATCCCGAATTCGATCCCATAAAGGTCGGCGTGGTGTCTGCTGCAGCTAAGTCACTTTGCATGTGGGTGATAGCTATGGAAAATTACGGCAAGCTGTTCAGGTAACTCATCCAAAGCTGGAAGTAAATTTCATAACATATGTATCTCTTTCTCTTTTTTTCTCTCTCTTTCTCTCTCTCTCTCTCTCTCTCTCTCTCTCTCTCTCTCTGTTAAGCTTCTCTTTTCTTTGTTTATAATGTAATATACATATATAGGGCATTCTTTGTCAAGCGGACCACCCCCTCTGCCCAAAATTCAGCTCAATCAAAAAATTTCTTCTAGGGCTCAAATTGTAGGTACACATGTCTACTTTTATTAGCACTCTGGCCATTTTGAATTTTATAATTATGACTGCGGATTCGTATTCGGCGACCCCCAAAACCTTAATTTATGGAAATAGAAAAATTTTCTAGCCCCTGTGCTTTATAGTAATTAAAGTTTGTTCTAAAAATTTTTTGACGACAATCCATTCCAGTCGCAATTCTGGATCCGACATATTGAATTTTCAAAAAGGCCAGAGTGTTAATTTTATATATTATTAAAAGTAGACATGTGTATCTACAATTTGAGCCCTAGAAGAAACTTTTTGGTTGAGCTGAATTTTGGGCAGATGGCCCGCTTGACAAAGATGCCCCATATATATGTATATGTATATATATATGTATATTTTTATATGTATATTTGTATATAATACATAAAATAAATCTTTAAAGAATTAATATTAGTGGAGGCTCTCAATAATTTAGACAACATTGTGGTCTATATTGTATCTAATTCAAAGTTATTTTTACTTGGAGTATTAAATATTGTGCTTTGGCTCACTGCAGCCCTTTATTTTTTATTAATTTATTATTTATTGAGCCAGATATTTTTCAATTTTATTCAATGATTTAAAACAATAATTTAATATTTATGAGTCGAGGCTAGGAAAAATTTTCCGCCTCATTGTGTAACAATAAACCGTTAATAACGAAATACGTAAGAAAAACAAACGTTTCGATCCCCTTTCCTCTAAAATCTTTAAAGTTTCCTTTTAGTAACAATTGCTATTAATTTGATTATTTGGTTACTTCAATTGATTAATTCCATCAGCCGCGCCGCATTCGCTCTGCCACATTGTGAAAAATTTGATTATACTTTCACGATGCGTTGTTGCAGAATCGTGGCACCGAAACGGGAAAAACTGCGGATCGCGTTGGAGTCGCTGGAACAGAAGGAAATGGCCTTAAAGGAGGCGATGCAGCAGCTGCGCAACTCACGCGAGCAGCTTGAGAGATTACAGCGAATGTACGACGCGAAGATGAAAGAAAAGGAGGATTTGATTAGGCTGGCGAGTACACCCCGTGTTTTCTTGCGCTTTAGAACGCCGGAAATGACCTCGCGCAGCATAAAGCCGAGAGAGTACGGACCGGTGCGCGGTGGAAGGTGGTCCGGGCTCGGACCAATCCGAGCTCCGTCCACCGGTAACACTTACAGTTATACAAACTTGTACCTTTAGTAACTGCAGAAGCCCGCGCTCGCTCGCATTCCCATCGGCAAGATGTATCCCCTCCGAGCGAACCCGGCGTTTCATATTGATGCGGAGGGAACGTCTATCGCGCGATGTTACGCGGATTAATTACAAAGTTACTTCCACAATGGAACTCTGTTTTTTAATATTCGCGATAATAACGTTTTAACGCGCCGTTGACGAAATTAATGAGAGCTGCTACAACGGCCGTGATAATAGAGGAATTATGTATTTAATAAACATTTCAACACCTGCATATTTTTCCTTTCATCATTTAAATCAAAAGTTTCTGTCGGCATTCGCTGAAATGCGTTTCATATGAATGTAATCTTGTATAATTACATTCTCTGTCTCTCTGCAGGCTGAACTATTAAAGCTGAAATTAGAGCGTGCCGCGATGCTGGTGGACGGCCTTTCCGATGAACGAATTCTGTGGGAGAACACGGTAGCGTCATTAACCGAGTGTTTCGACTGGCTGCCGGGCGATTGTCTGATATCTACTGGGTTTGTGTCTTACCTCGGTCCGTTCGTATCCAATTATAGACAGGAATTAATAAGCATTTGGTCTAAGGAGGTAAGCTCAAAATTCTTTCGGTTTTCTTCTTCAAAATTCTTTACCAAACCGTGTTTTTCAATATATCAAACATTATGTTCTACATATAGTAGAATTTTCAAATTAATAACATGTAACTTCAATCATATAATAATAAAATAGAGAATTAATTTTTATTATTTATACTTTCGGTTTTCTTTTTCAAAATTCTTCACCAAACCGTGTTTTTCAATATATCAAACATTACTCTACATGTGGTAGAATTTTCAAATTAATAACATGTAACTTCAATCATATTTTTGCAGCAAGGATTATTAATTGCGATAAAATAGAAAATGAAATTTTTATTACTTACACTTACGTGTATCTTATATTTTAATTTTATTATAAAAGCGATTAGTTTCTTTTAGATCGCAAATTAACGTCTGTAATTTATTCAACGGTTAAGGTGTATGAGAGAGGAATACCGACATCGCCGAATCTAGATGTGAAGGAGTTCCTAGCTGATCCGTCGACAATCAGGGAGTGGAACATTCAGGGCTTACCGTCCGATGGATTCAGCACGGAGAACGGCATCATAGTGACACGGGGAACACGTTGGCCTCTCATGATCGATCCGCAATGTCAGGCGGTGAAGTGGATCAAAAATATGGAGAAGAAAAACGTAAATGTCTGCGGTACTCGCGGTGCTGATCGATATTCATCAAAGAAACTAATAGCGCCTTCAGCGATATATACGTCATTAATATCGGATTTAATGAAAAATTAAATAACTAATTTGAGATAAAAACGATTTTCAAACCAGTGAAAATCAGAGAATTTACTTTGTCATTTTAATGTAACAATTACAATTGCAGTCACTGAAAGTAATCGACTTTGGTCAAGCGGACTTTATGAGAGTTCTGGAAAAAGCAATTCAGTTCGGAAACCCAGTGCTGCTCGAAAATATTGCAGAGACCCTCGATCCGGGTTTGAATCCGATTCTTCAAAAAGCTTTTATTAAATCAGGTAGAATATAATGTCGCTATCATGCAATTAAATGCGCGCAATTGCATTATTTTTGTGCAGAAATTACAATAGCACAATAGTTTATTCAATCGTTACAATTAAAAGCTACTGACATAAAAGTAATGATTATTAACGTAAAGTTTTAATTTACATCGTTAACGAAAAAAATGATACAAGAATGTATTTCATTTTTTTACATTTGACTCGAATATTCAATTGATTCATTGTAAAGCAAAAGTAATCGTAAAGCGCAAGCACGGATTTCACATTCGTTAATTAAATAATCTACGTCTCTCCGACGCTGGTAGATGATCAAGTGTTGATCCGATTTAACGACAAAATGATCACTTACAATAAGCAATTCCGGCTGTTTATGACTACGAAACTCTCGAATCCCCACTACGCTCCGGAGATTTCAACTAAAACGACATTATGCAACTTCACCATTAAGGAGCAGGGTAACTAATAGTCTTACGGTATACTTTAGAGAAAGATGGAACAAGATTAGGGAATATAACTCTGTCCCGCATGTAGGGCTCGAAGCGCAGCTCCTAGCAATTGTGGTCAGAAAAGAGAAGCCGCAACTTGAGGAACAGAAAGACAATCTGGTTCTCACAATTGCATCCGATAAACGGACTCTCAAAGAAATGGAGGATAAGATACTTCAGTAAGACGAAATTGCCATAAGCTTTAAGTCCAAATGTTTTCCACTCAGAAGTGCAGACTCGCGTGCGCGCGATGTTTATTCTGCACGTATTATTAGACATACATCAGTTGAATATTAATTGTCTATTTTGATTGTTAAGCTCTGTTTACACAAGTAATTAGCTGAGATAATAAAATATGTCAATATATATTTTCTCGTTAGTTTACTGAGCGTGGCGGGAGAGACTCTTCTAGATGACTTAGACCTGCTGAATACCCTCCAGACATCAAAGGCGACGTCTATCTCCATTCAAGAATCTCTGGCTGTTGCTGAACAGACAGAAAGAGAGATAGATCTAGCGAGAGAAGGATATCAGTCGTGCTCGAGGCGTGCCTCGATTCTTTTTTTCACCTTGAACGACATGAGCGTTATCGATCCCATGTATCAGTTCTCCCTCGACGCGTACAACGCACTGTTTATGCTTTCCATTGACAAGAGCCCCAAAAAAATAAATTTATCCGAGAGAATCCATAGCTTAAATGATTACCATACGTACGCGGTTTACAGGTAAATAAATGATTACAGCGATCCATTTTTTAATCTTTTAATTATATTATGCCTCCGGGGTTTTTACTGGTAGACAAGAATAACAATTAGATTTCCTGAACACTTTGTCTTCCCTTATTTTGTGATATATCTGATTGTCATTGTTAATCTGCATTAAAAACAAATTACGAAGATAAATGATACTCGTACCTTCTATTCCATAAAACCTTACCTTAGAGGTGTACAGTATCGTTTTTAAATGATAATCTTTCAAAAGAATTTTTCAACGTTATAATTTAAATGAGAATGTATAATAACGTAATATATAATCTTGGCGAGAAAACTTTTTTAATGAAAAATGTATCTTGTTTTTACTAGTCTCTTATCTTTTACACAGTATCATAAATCAATGTTTCGTTGGAAAATGTTGAACTCGAGATACGCGCGCGCGTACGCTCAACGTAATGTGACGCTGTTACAGTCTTTCTACTTTGCGGATATTTTGATATACGTATAGAAAGAGAGAGAGAGAGAGAGAGAGAGAGAGAGAGAGAAATGTGCAGTTTTAGAGAAAAACAAACTGATCTGACGGATTTTATTTTTGCGAATATATAGGAACACGTGCCGAGGTCTCTTCGAGCAGCACAAGCTACTCTTCTCCTTCCACATGTGTGTCAAGATATTGGATGCGCAAGGTAAGATCATCCCGGGAGAATACGCGTTTCTGCTGCGCGGCGGGATCGTGCTGGACCGGGAAAATCAGCCGGACAAACCCGTGCCGTGGCTGCCGGATGAAACTTGGGACAACATCACGGAACTCGACAAGCTGCACGGATTTCACGGACTCGTTTCTTCCTTCGAGCAGCTCCCGCGAGATTGGCACAATTGGTGCGTACAACGTCGTACAATCGTCACATCGTTATTTCGTCACGTTATTTCGACGCTTCGGCTTTTTTTAGACGGATCATTTTCACGTTGCAACTGTGCTAATAAATCTATATATTTATTTGTCAAATATATTGATTTCTTGTCATGGTTTTTTTATTACCTCAGTCATGTAACTTATAAATACAACAGACACAGCTAAATGAAGAGTATTGTAAAAATGGTCCGTTTAAAAAAACTGTCGAAATAACTTAATGAAATAACGTGATTTAAAGGAAACTTCAGATTTCATTGAGAAAGAATCAGCTAAGAAAAACGAGACAGATTGACGATTCCTTCCTTTTATTCTAAAGAAAAAAAGATACGTACATTATATACTAATAATCATTTATTTAAAATTCTACTGTTCGTCAAAAATATTTTTGTAGCGAGAATATATTTCTATGTAATATCTTGTTATAAAACTGTTTAACAAATAACATAATTTGAAGGGAACTTCAGATTTCATTGGAAAAGAATCAGCTAAGGGAAACGAGACAGATTGTATGACGTTCCCCTTCTTTTATTCTAACGAACAAAGATATGTTATATATAATAATAATCATTTATTTAAAATACATTCTACTGTCCGTCAAAAATATTTTTGTGGCGCGCGAATATATTTCCATGTAATATCTTGTTATAAAACCGTTTAACATCCACACAGGTACATCAGCACGGAGCCGGAAGCTGCACCGCTGGTCGGCGAATGGGAGGAAGGATGCACCGAGTTTCAGAAAATGTTATTCATCCGCAGCTGTCGACCTGACAGAATATCTTTCTGCATCATGACCTATATCGTGCGCAATCTCAGTCCGAGTTTCGTGGAGCCTCCTGTACTCGATCTGAAAGCAGTGTTAGGCGACTCTGTGGCGCGGACACCATTGATATTCGTTCTTTCGCCCGGCGTGGATCCCACCAGTGTGCTCACGCAATTAGCGGACAGTCAGGGCATGACTGCTAATTTCTTGACGTTATCACTAGGCCAGGGACAAGCTTCTATCGCTACAAAGTTAATTAATAAAAAGTTTATCTATTGTACAACGTATATTTAACTTATACATGGAAAGAACGATTTTGCTGGAAGATAAAAAAAATCTGAAAATAATGTTTATTAGAATATCATCAAAATATTTGGTTGAAAACTCAAAAATAATAAGCATTGCTGTAAAAGGTTTTGATATTCTATAGCGATCAATTTGACTTTCGAACAAAATTCTTTTGATGGTGCTCTAATAAATATTATTTTCAGATTTTTTTTGACCTGCAAAATCGTTCTTTCCGTGTACTTTTATTAAATACTTTGAATTAAAACTGCCATATTTTACTTTTTACTTCGATTACAATTTAACAGAATTTTAAATATAATGTAAACTTTAAATATAGAAATTTAGTAATATTAAGGTCTCTCTTTCTAAAATTTAGATCAGTATTTGCTACAAAATTTCCTAGTGAGATTTTCACATTATTTTATTCTTCGCGCAGCATGATAGAGATCGGTGCCAAAGAAGGGTCTTGGGTATTTCTTGCGAATTGCCACCTCTCGCTCAGTTGGATGCCCAAGCTCGATAAAATCGTGGAAACGCTCGGTTCCAGCCAAACTTTACATCCAAGATTTAGGTATGCCAAAGTTATGAAATACTGTCTTATATTCTTCGCGCAATACTATTTTTCACACAATATAGTACTCCGCAAAAGTAATCAAGAAAGTTGCAAATAAATTTTTAAATTTGTTCCAAATAAATATTTCTAACGGAATTCATTATTAAGCATGTAATATAAAAATCCAAGTAATTATTAACTCAAATAAAATTAAAGATAAATTTCAAGGCCGAAAACGAGCAAGCAAATATTCTACTAACTAAATGTATTTCATATCACATACAAGGATATCACATACAATAAATTGCGATACTAGTTTCGATTTAACTGTAGTCTTTATCAGCCACAAAATTTATTCAATTAATACGTAACTATTACACACAAAGAGATGTCGTAAAGTTCATAAATCTTCGAAATAATACATAAACCGAAAGCAACAAGAGACATGACGCAGTCTATGTTGATAAAACGGAGTCTAAAACAATAAAAAAAATGTCATATAAAATAATATAAAAATATAATATAATAATTCACAATATAAAATAAAACATATAATATAAAAATTCACAATCACTAATAAATTGTATTTGAATATAGTAATGACGGTTCTCTTTATTAATCAATATGTAATGATGTAAATGTTTCAAAAGTGCGCATTTAATCCTTTTATACAGATTATGGCTTAGTTCAAATCCGACTCCTCAGTTCCCCATATCGATCCTTCAAGCCGGGATAAAAATTACTACCGAACCGCCAAAAGGATTAAAAGCGAACATGAAGCGCCTTTACGGTTTAATCACCGAAACGCAGTTCGACTTGTGCCAAGAAAAGTCTAAATATAAAAAGCTGCTGTTCACGCTGATCTTCTTCCACTCTATTCTTCTGGAACGGAAGAAATTCCAGCAACTCGGTTGGAACGTGGTCTACAGCTTTAACGATTCCGATTTCGAGGTATTTTTCGAGCAAAACTTGCGGGTGCAGCGAGAAAACGCGTGGAAAACTTTTTATTTATCCGCAATTTATTTAGAGAGATAGTATCTCGGGAATCTCCAGCCATAACGTTTCTTACAACACCGCGTTTAAATCCGTCTCGTCAAAGTGCGACGCCCGATGATGGAGAAGCACAATCGTCATAATAGCTGGGATATCTGTTCCAGGTTTCCGAGAATCTGCTGCAAGTTTACCTGGATGAATATCCGGTCACGCCGTGGGAATCTTTGAAATATCTCATAGCAGGTGTTTGTTATGGTGGTCACGTGACCGACGACTGGGATCGCCGGTTGTTGATGACGTACATCCAGCAATATTTCACGGAGGACGTCCTGACTACCCCTCATTATCGTTTGTCATCACTGCCCACCTATTACGTGCCTCGCGACGGCTCCTTGGAGTCCTACCGCGACTTCGTCGCGATTCTGCCGAGCATCGACAGGCCGGAAGTGTTTGGTCAGCATCCAAACGCGGATATCGCTTGTCTAATAATGGAGGCCAGAAACATGTTTCAGACTCTAATGAGTCTTCAGGTGCAGACGGTCAGCGTCGAAATGGACGAGGATAAGGAGAAGAAGGTAAGTATAAATGAGACTATCGAATTGGAAGCTTATCTTTCCTGTTCGCTCGAAGATGTGAAATAGCAAAGCATGAAGGACGAGCAAATAAGTATAGGAATTTGACATACTTTATTGGACTTACAATATCGAACTTAATGCAAATAGTATTGATATCTCTACTTTTATTGACATTGTCTGTTGTCGTGACTTAATTATTAATTTCGACCTCGAATAATCTCGCGCTGAGTCTACAGCCAAATGGAATTATATCAATCTCGTCGTGATTTTTTTTTTTTTTTTGAGGTGATGCAACTCGCGAGCGATATTCTCTCGAAAATACCGAAAACGATCGATTACGAGACAACAGAGAAACTGATAGGGCCGCACAAAACGCCGCTGGACGTGGTGTTGCTCCAAGAGATTGGACGGTATAACGAGCTGTTGATAAAAACCCGCCAGAGCCTCGAGGAGCTTCAGCGTGGAATTAAAGGATTGGTGCTGATGTCGCGGGAGCTGGAAGAAATCTTCGCGTGCATACACGACGGGCGAGTGCCGTCTCTATGGCTGACCGCGTATCCGTCTTTGAAACTGCTCGGCGCCTGGACGAGGGATCTAATCAATCGAGTCGAGCACTTCGCCAATTGGGCTCAAACCACTCATCCGCCATTGCTCTTCTGGCTAGCTGCGTATACATTTCCAACTGGATTCCTTACTGCGGTACTACAAACTTCGGCGAGACTGTGGAACGTATCTATCGATTCGTTGTCATGGGAGTTTACTGTCTTCTCAACGGACGAGTCTGCTATAATCGAGCCGCCCGTGGTAACTACGAGCGATTAGACTAATTGCTCATCGGACCAGTTTCGGTCCGGGACGACTAATATCGAGCACCATTTTACCTATAAGAAGCTTACATTCCTTGCTTGAATAATAGTGCTCATTGAGCTAATACGAATATCTCGTTTACATTAAGCTATAAATTGTAAATGTCCAGCTCTCAGCGAAAAAAAAGTACAAAATTAAAATTCTTACATATATATGATTAATTTCGAATACACAGTGAAATATATTGATTATAAGTGTTATTGCAAAAGTAAGAACGAAAAATTTTCTTACTATAAACAATATTCCCTGTGTTTTTGTATTTATTTCATAAATGTAATCTTCTCCAATGCAGAAAATTGACAAATTATAATTGCAGAAAGCATATTACTTTTACTAATTATGATAAAAATCGTAATAGTTATTATAATAATACTCGTAATAATCGGAAATTATATGTGAGCAATTGTACATTTTAGTTTATTAATTATAAAATTTTACTTTAGGAGGGTGTATACGTGTGTTCCATTTTTCTGGAAGGCGCCGGCTGGGATAAAGAGAATGGCATTCTTATCGAGCCCGCGCCCATGCAACTTGTATGCAACATGCCGGTGATTCATTTTCGACCCGTCGAGCAAGTTAAAAAGAAAGTCAAAGGTAAAATAGCCATGCAAATATCAAAATCATTTCGCCGCGCTCTGATTTTCTTCGCGTGCAAATACAGCTTGCGGTTCGCTGGAAGAAACAGACTTTCAATTACAACCAACATTTCGCTTAACTTTCACAGAGTTCTACAGCTGTCCTTGTTATTATTACCCCCAAAGGAGCGGCGCCCAAATGAGATCTGCGTTCGTAGTTGCTGTAGATCTCAAAGCTGGAACACAAGGTTCGGACTACTGGGTGAAACGCGGAACTGCGCTTTTACTGAGTCTGGCCGTATAAAGTTTTCAGCTATGTACATTAATTCATGATTCATAAGCCTCAGTTTAACTTTAGCAATAATAGAAATGTGTAATATTGAGCTCCGTTAAAATAGCTTATTATTTTTATTACATTTCTTCATATTTTCTCGTTCTTCTTTTTTTGTTTATTTATGTTATGTCATAATATGGATTGAATATATATGCATGTGTGGTGGTATGGAATATAAGTATACAATATATAATTTTTACCAGAAAAATTATACTTATTTATATAAATTTAAACGCATAATTTATACATCTTAAATGACTATAATAATTATAAAATAAAAACAAATAAATTTTTCTTAATTATTAGGCTCACATGCAAATTTCACTTCAATAACAAATAAAACAACAATAACGTATTAAATAGATTAATCAGCACCATCTTTCGTGATTCGATTTCACGATGGACGCATGTGTAATAATCATATGATAAATAAAAATATTTTCTAACAGCATCAAAATTACATATAATTCTATTCTATAAATACAAATTATTTATGTACAGTATAAGTATTTGCAATTATCACGTATTATTCAACTTATTAGAACTTTACTCAGTCGATACAAAAGTACCAAGTACTGGTATACTAGTATTTGGTAGATATCGATACTTGAATACTTCCTCTTTACCATCTGATATTTGAATACTTTCACTTTACTAACGGAGCGTAAATTGTTGCTGCAGATATATATTTTTAAATATATTTACAGAAGATAAATATACTGGCATCCATACTTTACAACAGATGAGCACACCAACATCATATTTTTATCACGTACTTACTGTCAATATCCATATAAACATCCATATCGATATATGACACTAAAAAAAACCTATATATTAATTTATGATATTTACTAATTCGATTTACTAATGAAAGATAAATCTATGAAATGTACCGCTGAATAAAATAACGAAAAATACATATATTATATTAATATTTGCATTTATAAAATTTATAAAAATTATTAATTTATATTCGAATTTATTAAATAAAATTCTAAGAATTCTGCAATGCAATTATAAGTCTTTTAATAATTAAGAATAACTTTACAAATAAATAAATCCACAATTATTTAAAAATTATCGCAACAACAGTTATATAATATAATCAATTTTAACAGCGATGAACTTTTATGACGAGATAGAAAGCACGTTTGACAAGTCTTACACTTTCTGTGATTGTGATTCGGCAAAATGATTTATATAAACCTATAAATTGAAAGTTAACAGGTCTTATCTAGAAGTAACACCGAATCAGCGAACCTTTCAATTTATCGTGGTGTATAAGGAAGCAATTGATTCGGCTCAATCCCCATCGCGATAAAATCAGTTTGGAGCTTCTGTATTTACGGTCAGTACACAAGGATATAAGATAGATGAGTCGCGAACTGAAGAAGAGAAATAGGAACGGACGAGATTAAAGGTCGCCGGTATTGTGGCGGATTACAAGCAGCAGGTCGCTCTCACGACTTTGACCCTCTGTACCACGCAATTATTTCTTATTCTCGGCGCAATGGCGCTCAACGAAGATCCTGGAGCACGGCGGAGGTCTCTCTTCCACCGTCCCGGGTTAATAGTACGAACATCACTTCTTCTTTCTCGCCCCGGGTGCTGCTACGTCTCCGTAATGTCTCCCATTTGTCTACTTTTCTTTCCCGACATTACTAACACGGAACTACTCAAACCTATTCAAAGTTAAATTATTTTTTTTTATCACGATTTTTATCTTAATTTGTCTGAATTTTTCTACTGGCGCAACTCTTTTTTGCATTTATATATTTCCATATTTTTAAATACTATTAAAATTTTAACAGCATGCAGCTAGAGAGGAAATAAATGCTGAATATTTTCTTCATTTTATCAGTCAAGCATTTTTCCTGTATACTGATTTTGATTATTAATATGATATTTAAAACATTTTTACATTGAGCTATTCATATTTTTATAAATATTATATATTTTTTTAACTTCCCATTTTCTTTACTGCATTTACATTTCATGACTTTTATAATCTACTTGCGCTGGTTTTAGACTTCTTTATACCAAAGTTGCGAAATTAAGTCAAGGCTTGCGAAGTTCCACTTTTTCGTTCTCTACTTACGAAATTAGTTTAAAAAAATCTTATTAATTAACCTTAACTTAAATTATGTATATAAACACGGAGAGACTGCCAAGCGACAAATGAAATCTTAATTTTAGACATAACTTAATTTTAAACGTAGCTTGAGATAAAAAAGTCAATTTATATTTAATTTTGAAGCAGATAAAAACGAACATCCCCGATGCTAAATGAATTTATATTGCATTGCGCACTTTGCATCCGATATGCTGTCTGGCGCAGAAGAATAATAGGAGGACGGCGAATGAGTAATAGTCGGATAACTAGACGGCCGGGGAAATATTTTTCGGTGAAAAGTCTCCCCGCGCGCGCGTAATTTCGCAGTAATGAAAAATTCGCGAAAGCCATAAGAAACATCCCTGCGCACATTTACGAAGCCGTACGTAAGAAATATTCCTGCATTACTGAATCCCCTCAAGCCACTTGTCGCTCGACAGTTTACAAACTAGCTCGTCGTAAAACAAGTCTGAAGTCACCTTTTAATAGCGGGCAGCGCGCGACTCGTAAAGAGCGAAGAATTAGGTAGTCCGTCGGAACGTCGGAAGTAAGATATCGCTGCCGGTAGCGCTCGTTAACGGGCGCGCATCGGAATCGGAGAGAGAGCATCGATACTCTCAGATACCGCGCGCGGAGTCCACCGGAGGAGCGCGCGCGTCCTCGAGCATCCCTAGGCAGTCCGCGCAGCAGAGTCGAGAAATCCTGTACGTCGCGGAGGAGAATCCCTGCCGCGGGTGGCCGATGGTGGGTCAATGGTGGGGGAGATCGGTGTCGATTCGCCGGGCCAATGATGTGAGCGTAATGCGCGGCGCGGATGCGCGCGGGATCAAAGCCGCCGAGCACCCTCAGCCAGAGCGAGCGTGGACGTCCGCCGAGCTAGACCTCCGCTCCGCCGGGTGCCTCTCGCTGTTGAACGCATTTTCGGCGTTCCCCCTCGTGCCTCAACATCGCGAACGTGACTGCCGCGGAAGTCGGGACTGATCGGCCCACGCTCTCGCAACGCGAGTCTTCTCGTCGGTCTCGGTTCGCCCCCTCCGCCTCCGTCCCCCCTTCGTTCCCCCTCCTCCCTCCCCCCCGTCGAGGTCGTCCTTCCCTCCGCGCGCGCGAAAAAAACGGAGCGCGAGATCCGCGTCGTCGTTCGTCGTCGGTCCATCTCCTTCTTGGGTGCCTGGTATAACAATTGGAGCGGAGCAGCAGCGCCCGTGTGTGCTCCGTACTTCTTGGAGAGCGACGTTACGTTAGCGCGACACCCCGACCGCGAGACCTCGCGGGTGTCTCTCGAGCAAGAGGAAGGAGAAGGAAAGGAAAGGAAGAGAAAAACACGGAAGTAAAAACCCGAGAAAACGGAGGAGGTAAACCGCCGCCCGCCGCGACCACTGGCGCAATCATTCGCCCGCAGGACACACTTCGATCAAATCTCGACGACCTCGCCTCGATCCTCTCGGCGGAGCCGTGAACGCCGAGGACGGTGGTATGTCTGATAGTGCAGTGAGAAAACAGTGCGTTGTTTCGCGTTACGAGGAGGAGGAGGAGGAGGCCGCCGCCGCCGCCGCCGCCGCCGCCGCCGCCGCGAACCGCGCCATCATCAGTGTAACAGCGTGATCGCGGGCACGTGAGTCGAGGCCTCGCGGGCATCCCCCTTCGGCCGTTCCGACAACGGTCGTGCAAAAGTCGCGGAATGTAAATAACCCGCGACGCGCCCGTCGTTGTTGTTGCTTCTCGGGATTATTGGCGATGGAATCGGAGTCGTTCGCAGTGGTGATATCGGAGTGTTCGCGCAGCATTTGAGAGCCTGACTGTACCCGCGTATCGCCGTAGAGCGGCACCGGACGCCCTCGGGATTCCTTCGCACGAGAGGTACGTGTGAATCACAATCATAAGTACAGAGTGTCGTAGAGAAATCTAGTTTACTCTCAATCCGTGGTTCTTGATGAATCTGAATGAATCTTAACTTCGTAAATTTCTTGAATAATTGTAAATATTTTAAATTGAAATTAGAATTTCTTCAACGAAAAATTGCACATCTTAAATAAATTTGAGCCATTAAGATTTCTATATTTAATTCGAATAGTTTATAAAAAAAATAACGTTTTCCCTTCATTTATAGCTTGCGAAGAATATTAATGCTTTGATATTACAATTAAAGAAATAACTCCAGATTGGTCAAAAAGATTCCAATTAATTATAATATTATATCATTCGGATCTCGATCGAAGATTCTACGAATCGATAGATGTAAAACTTTGAATTTCTTTCGCAAAACTCTGTATTTGTTATGAGTACGCATCTTGTATCAAATATTTATTTAAAAAAAAATTAATTTTAAGTGTACTGATTAAGGAAAAATTTATTTTAAGTGTATTTATTAAGGAAAAATTCATTTTAAGTGTATTGAGGAAAAATTGATTAGTACGAAGTTAAAATGCATAAAATTTGTGGTTGAAACGTTATCTTATTCCTCTGAGTTACCGTATATGTATATAGTATTACATACCACAGGTAAATCATTGAAGAATTTTACTCCACAAGATCAATGTATAGTAACACAAATTGATAGGTTCTTATACTAAAACGATGAATAAGAATGATTATACAAAGTAATTAGCGGTCTACCGCTCGATTTTCCTGATGAAATATTTCTTCTGCGAACTTACGCATAAACTTTTGCTATATAACATGTGTATTATATATATATATATATATATATACATATATATATATATATTTATATACATATTTATATATTTATATACATTTAAATATGATCTATAAGATAATATAAATCAAGACGAATATATAAATGATAATGCATTCGCATATTTTTCAAAATTTAATGCTCTCTCTCTCTCTCTCTCTCTCTCTCTTTCTGTGTCTATTGTATATATGCAACAATATATTTAAAAACATTTTTTATATTATATTTGGATATTATCGATTATTGAGAAACATTACGAATTGTGGAAAAATGAAATTTTTCTTCTCGATTTTCATAGCGGTTTACCTCCATGATTATATTTAATCAATAAAACGATTATATTTCGAATATGCAATTGATAAAAAATTTCCAATAAACTTTTTACTGGAGCTCCAAAATTTTTGCCGAATACGTGGGACTTCGTGCGCAACGTTAGATAGATAAATTCGCACACGAATGGCAGACAGATCGAACAAACGCGGGATCTATGGGGGTCTCATGGGACAATACAAAAATATTGACGAAATGTAGAGTGCAGTGAACCCATCTGGCGCCGGACGGTCTGCACACGTTTGTTTACATTTTAGAATTTATTTGACGCAAGAAATGTTTGCTTAGCGCTCAGGTACATGATAAACCATGCAAATGTTTTTCCAAAGTATTACGTCTGCGCGACGATATCAATTTTTTTTTCTTTTTTCGCTTTAAAGTCAGGTTCAATTCCGCGGAAGGAATATTGCGCGAGATGCTGTAATTTATAACTCCAGATACATTCGCGACGAATTGCACTCGCGGAGCATTTCCGATTGCGAAACGACCGCATGTTTCACGGACTGAGTCATTTAATTCCGCTCGCAAAGGGTCAAGCACGCAGTGCTCAAATTCCAGATGTAGGATAAGCGTAATGCAAACGTGACGTATATTATTAAAAAGTTAAAATCTTAATTATTAACGCGGAGTTTATTTTAACAAGTTCCGCGATTGAATCGGATTTCTATACGATACGCAACCGTATCACGCGATATCTGCAAGAAGCGTATATCTATTATAGAATACACTTTAACGATCTTCGAAGAATTAGCGAGTAATAAAAACCGTCCTTGAAAATAATTGGAGTGTAGTCCCTGTTACATTCATTTTGCTGCATGTTACTCGTATTCAATTAATTTAGAAAGATATTTTAAAACAGAGAGTGTCTTTTGCGTATAGCGATACGTATTTTTCAACACGAAACATCGAAGAGTGATAAAAATGGAATCTTTTCATGTCACAATCTATTCAATTGTTACATAAAATTTAATAAATATATATTTTTACTACATATATATATATATATATATATATATATATATATTTCTGTACGAATTGACGCGAGAAATAACGATGTGTGCCATAAATAATCAGGCGACGCGGCGGCGAGATCGTAAAGCTTTCCTTGCCATTGTGTCCGGAGCCCCGCGATTTTAACGTTTTTCGACAATGAAAAGTTTAATTAAAAGAGCCATATTAACGAGACTCGTATAACGCGATATTGACTCTCAACGGGACGTGACCGCCCCCGTTAAATTTCCAACTGTCTCATTACTTTTTTGCGTTTATATATAATGTCCCGTCGCATTCGGGGCAGGCCGGTCGCCGATCGAAGCGTAATTAAGATCGATAGTCTCGGGATTTTTGTCGAGTGTGAGATTGTACCGGCGACAGGGTTATCCGTGTACACACACGTGTCGCACGCGCCTATTGTAGGAAGAAGGATTATTACACCGTGGGAGAGGCGTGAGAGAGAGAGAGAGAGAGAGAGAGAGAGAGTGAGAGAGGATCAAAGGGGGGACCGAGCGCGCGCGCGTTTCCAAATCGCGTACAACGGCTCCGTTGTCCTCTCCATCCCGATTTAGACCCACCGCCATGACGCACGCATACGGCGTACATTTCGTCACTGTAAACAGTCCGGATCTCTCTGGTTATTGTGTCGCCTCGGCGGCTGAGAAACTGAGAAGGCGTGGAGCGGAGCTTAAGGCTCGCGCGCCGCCGCCGCGCGTGTACAGGGTAGGGGCAAAGTACATTGAGCGAATGCGCTGAGTGCTGCACATTCATGGAAACCTCTCTGATTGATCACTTTAGATGCGCCGCCGGGAACAAGGGTCGGCAAGTACAATACACTTCGCGTGTACTCTCGAGAGTAGGTATAGCGTGAAACGGGCGGAGGAAAAACCACTCTTTTTCATATATATCGATTCGCCGAGGCGTATAATTCCGGAACTGACTCAATCTATATTTATGAATAGGCATTTATCAAAAGACGTTTATTTTTTTTTGCTGCGTAACTTACGCGCGCAAGCATTTAATTTTGAGAGACACGCGAGTGCGTATCATCATTTATATTCGTCTTGATTTATTCTATCTTATAAATGATATCTAAAATTCTTTAGACATTAACAGTTATCTAGGAAAAACATATAAATCATACAAGATAGCTACAATGTAAATCATGTATGAATCCGTGTTGACTCACAATCCATTCATAATAAAAACTTGTTGAGATAGTGATAGAAAATCGACCGTATAAAGACTTACAGTCGATTTCCTTCATTTATTTCAGAAATGATAATTTTTTGCTTGTGTTATTTTTCTTTTAACGTGGAGCAAAATATTGATTTATACACAGAAAGAACAATTTTGCTGAATCCAGATCTGAAAATAATTTTTGTTTAATCAAAATAACTTTGTGCGAAAGTCAAGTTGTGTCAAAATGATTGCTAGAATATCAAAACGTTTTATAGCAATACTTATCAGTTTTAACATTCCAACAAATTATTCTGATAATTTAACAAAAAATTATTTTCAGATCTGTTTTTAGCATGTTTTTAGACCTTTTAACAAAATTGTTCTTTCCGTGTATATATTGTACTTTGTATGAATATGTATATATATGTATTCATAAATAAAATATATGAATATATTTATATATTTTCAAAGAATTGTATGTATTATTTGCAACTTTTATAATTATACGTTAAAAACAAATTGCATGAGCGACTTCTTCATGCATATTTGTAGATTCTGTCGATGAAAACAAACGATTTAGTCGGCAAAGTGTTGTAATGTAGGGACGATTGTTTCGATCGTTATTCTCTCGCGGTGCGAGGACGGCTCGTTTCAATCACGTGGAAAAACAGAGTAAATAGCGTGCCCTTCGAAAATACGTTACCGTCATACGTTCCAGGGGTGGTCGACCTGGCGAAAGTGAGTAATCCCCAGCACGCATGCTCCGATCCTCTTCTACCCCCCCCCCCCTCTTCCCCCTTCAATATCGTAAGATACCAGCAGACTTGAATGAGGGGTAGATGGCAGCGAGAGTGTCGGTGCTCTTCTCCTTCCCGGGTAGATAATATTTACCGTCCTTTTCCTATCTCGACGTACACAGACGCGCGCGCTTAACGAACACCCGCGGCGGCTTGTTGATAGGTGGACTTTGCCGCTACTTGCGAAGGGCTGAAAGTCTGGCGGTTCGCGTTTCATAGCGCCGCGACTTTCTCTGAAAGGCAGCTTCCCGAATATGAGAGCTACGTACATATAGCTTACATCCTGGACGCTTAGCATTCTGCGGATACATGGAGCATCTGATTTTTCAAAATGAAAATTTGTAAGACCCTCTCTCTCTTTCTCTCTCTCTCTCTCTCTGTTTCCTCTCTTTCTCTCTCAGCCGTTACATGTCAAGACGGATCGCGAAGTTGAACGAGCACGCATTAAACTGATTAAACAATACAATTTTAAATCATATATAATCTAGAGAAATTTGTATCTTACGATTTGTACGTTCATATCCTTCGTATAATCATGCGTTTTACGTTATCATTTGTATAGATATCTAGAGTATCTATAAGAGTATCTATAAGAGTATAGTAGAATTTCAGTCTTCTCTAGGATTAGTCTATCGCATTTGGTATTGGAGGCTTACTTTGCAACGCGCCGTAAACCGTCGCAATAATTTCACGGTGGGGAAGCAATAATTTAGCTGTCGCGGGAAAGAGAGCGAATTTATTCTCGCTAAGCGTTGCGTGAGGCGAAATTGTACGCATGCAGAAGCCGGGCGACGCGTAACGCCGCGCTATATCGCATTAAAGTTATGTAAGCTCCATAATTCATGGCCGGTGCGGAGAGTGAACATTAATCGACATCGCCTTACAGAATATATTTACCGACTTCGGTCGTGACGTGAAAACAGATTGACGTTACGGACGTAACGCCGGAATAAAATCCGCGGGAGCCTCCAACCTTTTACCTCGCACGCATGCCACGACGGATGTAGGTTATGACTTCATATCCTGTTTGTTAAAGCCGTTCCATTCGCGGGAAGATTTTCGACCGAGAAGCGCTTCCTGATCGATTTTATGTCGTTCGAAAGACGCCTTCGAAATCTCCTGCCTTCCACTTACCGATATGCCAGTGCCATAGCGAATTATCGCAGTCTAGCGATATATCGTACTCTTATATCTTCGCAAAACTTGGAGAAAATTTTAATATAATTGCGCACAATTTATTACTTCGCATAATTGCGTAATTTCTGAATATAATAATCAGAGAGTTTTCGAAATACGAGAAGAATTTGCACGATTTAATTGATTGATTAAAAAAACAGGCTAATTTTATTATTCAACGACATATACCCTTGCCACTTAACGTTGAAACGTTACCGAGCAAGCAAGATGTTGAATTCACGTTTTTGTCGACTTGAGGAAAAGTTTAAGGAAATTTAATCTTTACACGAAAGAGAAACGGTAAATTCCTCGCTAAAGTCTAAAGTACACAATTATTCTCTCGAGCTTGATATCTGCTGAACGTAAACCCGAAAGGATATGAGGGTGTTGTCGGGCTGTTTTAGATAATTTACTGTATATTTAACGGCGGGCACACTCTTCGCTTGAATGAGCCTCATTTCTGCGACAACGGAGATAGCGAGTCAAGACCGCGGTTTTACCGCAGTAAACGAATTTGTTATCGTAGAGTTTACGACAGTCTCGAGACAGCGACAGCGTGACATCGTCAACGTTTTCCGGACAAAAACGCGCCCGTACTTTGTTAACGTGATGAAAAGTTAGTAACGATAAATCCGCAAGATTTTAAGACAGACTCGCGCGATTTAAGGCAAAAGACTTATCATAGAAATTATGCAATAATTATTTTTTAGTAAACATAGTACAATGAAGATCTATGAGAGCTAACACTCTGATAGGCCTTTACTGTACTATGTTTATTGTTTCAATCTCGAGAGCTCATGTAAATAATTATTTTAATTATTTTTCAATTGTTATTGAACTCAGTGTTAATCTGTTTGAATTTCGATTCCTTGAATTTTACGTTTCTTAAATATTAATAACAATCATCGTTCAATAACAAGTATTATATGTTACAATCATCGTTTAATAACAAGTATTATATGTTACAATGCAAAGAGAGAAGTGAAAAATGCTTGCTGCATCAATAATTTAAAAATAATATACTTTTTCGAAGGAATAACAGTTTTTACAAACCATGATCGGGATTTATTTATCGTGAATAAAATCCGGGAAAAATACCTCTCTTTTTATACAGGTACCACTCGACTTCGTCGACATGATACATATTGAATTGATTTTGATGAAGTATTTTAAGAGCTTGACTTTCTATACTTATTGAAATGCATCAAGCTTGATTTTATACCTTGTTTAATGGGCGCTTTGGACATCGGTGCGCTCGATGCGAAGCCCGAAGGGAGCGAATTACATTGTGCTTTATACGTCAATCCATCCTACTCACGCATCCGCCGTGCAACCCGTGCACATGCTGCAAATGAGCCTACTTGACAATAAGTGGCATTATATTCTTCCTCTTTGTACGACTCGGTAAGCAATGGGCGTGGCGCGAATCGCCGCGGCTCGGTTTTCGCGCGACGTTCGGAAGACGTCAATGTTAAACAACACTTACACGTGTCCGAACCGAGCCAATTCGACATTCCCGCGGATATTTATCAAACCTCGATTATACTACCCGCTAATGATACGGGACTCCTCGCGTATTGGCGATCTCCGTATATTGGCGATCTTTGCGGGCGATCGGTGAAGGCTCGGGCTTAGAGGGAAATTACCGTCACGCGCTGCCGTACTTCGGTCGCGCATATGCCGAAAGAGAGCAATACTTAACAATAAACGGCATTATATTCTTCCCCCCCGTTCGTATAAGTTGGTATAAGCAATGGGCGTGGCGCGAACACCGCAGCACCACGGCTTTTGTGTTACGGTGCACGTACGCGCTCGCCTTTTGTTGTACCGCTGCACCGTAAGTCGTTCCGGATACCCCGGAGCCGATCGTATCCAAGACGAAGGAGAAACAGGAGGTGAAGAAGGAGGAGAAGGAGGAGGAGGAGGCTGTGTGTGAAAGAGCGCCCGGGACATATCGCCGAGTAATGAAGGTACGGGGAAGGGAAAGAAACGGGCCGCCGCACGGCGGTATCGGTATCGACCGCACGTGTGTTATTTCCTCGATTACTCGCGACGCGAGTCACGATCGACAGTTGGTTGCATCGCGATTGTCGCCTGGCGCGCGGTAACGGCCGGTCCATATCATTGTCTTGCGCCAACGTCCTGTGTTCTCTTCCCTCTCCTTTCCCATTCCTTCTTTCTCTTCTTTTTCCCGGCGTAAACCGTTCCCATTTGTGTGTCGCAAGTTAACGCGAGACCATACGCGCGCGTACGGAAATACGACTCGGCTCAATGGACGGCTCCGATACTACTCGCGTGTACTTTGTTACTATTTCTGGATGTTTCAGTCTGGCTGCAGTGAAACAAACGAAAAGTTTGAGAGACATGTTTCATACAAAATCTATAAAAAATGATTTAATAAATAAGCATGAATTATTTCCAAATGTCCGTTTTATTAAAATCTTACATTTTACTGAAATAAAATGCAGTCGAACTTCGATAACTTGAACATCTATAATTCGAAAACCTCTATATAAGACGAAATTTTTGGTCATTTGCTTCCGCTCCGCTGCGGAAAATCGTTATAAATCAAAGTAAAACCTACTTTAACTCGAATTATTTGTCAGATATTTAGATGTATTATTTTACCTCTGTATAACTTGAATTTAAAGTAGCTAGACTTCTATAAGTCAAACTTTTATTGTCGCTACCTCTATAATTC